CATCACCTCCCACTCCAGCTGCTGCCCCTGTCTTGGCAATAGAGCAAGGGAAGGGTAAGAAGAGGAAGGCCTCCTCAAGGGGCCACCACAAGGGAAAGTCTCAACATGGCACCTCTTCTAGTGGAACCAAAGTTGGTTCTGCCAAACCCAACTCAAACCCCAAGGAGGCAAAGTTCCACCACTGCCACAAGATAGGGCATTGGAAGAGAAGCTGCCCAGAATATCGGCAGGCCATCAAGGATGGAAAGATCAAGCCATCTTTCGCAGGTATTTACACAATTAAATCTAATAGTTTATCAACATGCTACTTCTTGGGTTCTTGATACATGATGTGGTTTCACATATGTTCTGATTTGCAGGGACTAAAAGGAAATAGGGATGTGGAGCGTGGAAGGATTGAATCTGATCATGGGAAACAGAAGATCGTCGCTGTGACCAAGATTAGAGTTATTCCTTAGTGCTTAGTAATGGTTTAGATTTAAATTTGAATAATTGTTGCTATTCGCAAGATATGGCTAGAAACATTCATTTCATTCATGGTTTTATATAAACAAGGTTTTTAGATACTCATTTGATAATGAAAGGGTTCTATTTATGCTTATTTTAATAATGTTTTATATTTGAAGCATTGCCTTGTAATGGAATATATGAAACTGTGATGGTGTAGACAATTAGGAATGAAATGTGTTGTTGTGTGTGGATTCTTCCAAAGTATGGATAAAGCATGCTTGTGGCATTGTCGTCTTAGGACATGTCAACAAGAAACGCATAGCCCAACTCCAAAAGGATGGAGTGTTGGAGTCATTCGACCTTAGGACGATGACGTGTGCGAGTCTTGTTTACTTGGAAAGATGACCAAGTCACCCTCACTGGTACTTGTGCAGGGGTGAGGGTATTGGATCTCATACATACAAATGTATGTGGACCCTTTAGATCCACCACGAGGGATGCGATCGCTTCTATGTGACTTTCACAGATGATTATAGCAGATATGGGTATATCTACTTAATCAAGCACAAGTCAGAAACCTTTGAAAAGTTCAAAGAGTTTAAACAAGAAGTGGAGAATCATTGGGCAGGAAAATAAAATGATGCTTCGATCTGATCAAGGGGAGAGTACCTAAGTCTGGTTCCACGACTACCTCAAGGAATGTGGAATAGTTTTCACAATTGACGCCACCTAGGACACCACAATTAATGTGTTTTGTAGCTGAGACGTAATCGAACCTTGCTAGACATGGTTCGTTCCATGATGAGTCGTGCTTCACTACCTCTCATTCTGGGGGTATGCCTTAGAGACTGCCGCCCATATCCTTAACTTAGTACCTACGAAAGAAAGTTGCCAAAACACCTCACGAGTGATGTGGACAGGGAAGCTCCCTCGTTGGCACATATCAAGGTTTGGGGTTGCGAGGCTTTCGTAAGACGAGATACTCACGACAAGCTCGAACCTCGTAGTGAGCGATGTATTTTCATCGGCTACCCACAGAAATCCTTTGGATATCTCTTCTACAGACCGAGTGACAATATAGTCTTCGTTGCGAGGAGAGGGGTTTTCCTAAAGCGAGAACTCATAAGCCAAGGAGACAGTGGGAGGCAGATCGATCTTGAAGAGCTTCAAGAGTCGAGCGATGAAGGAACCTCTAACACTGGCACTCAACCCGAGGCGGAAACTCCGGTGAACCGATGACGAGGACTTCCGTTTAACGTCCTTACCTCTTAGAACGTTCCGAAAGAGTTAGTGTTCCACCCCAGTTTTATGGTTTTCATATTACTTGTGGAGGGGATACGTTCATTAGTGATAGTACCACTAGTGAATATGGACGAACCTAACAGCTAAGGAAGCCATGGCAGGCCCAGAGTCTGCGAAGTGGAAAGAGGCTATGGATAGCGAGATCCAATCCATGTATGACAACCAAGTTTGGAATTTGGTTGACAATGTACCAGGTCGTAAGACGATCGGGTGCAAGTGGATCTTCAAGAAGAAAGACGTAGATGGGAACGTGCACACTTATAAGGCGCGATTGGTTGCGAAGGGTTTCACTCAAACTCCTGGAGTTGACTACGACGAAACTTTCTCACCAGTTGCGAAGATAAAGTCTATCAGGGTAATACTGGCCATTGCTGCATTTCATGACTATGAAATATGGCAGATGGATGTCAAAACGCTCTTTCCTTAATGGGAAGTTGGCTGAGGATGTTTACATGGCTCAGCCAGAGGGTTTTGTCAATGCGAAGCATCCCAATAGAGTGTGTAAACTTGAGAAGTCTATTTATGGACTTAAGCAAGCGTCTCGCAGATGGAATCTTTGTTTCGACGAGAAGGTCAAAGAGTTTGGTTTTCTGCGAAGCGAAAGATGAATCTTGTGTGTATGTCAAAAGCCAGTGGGAGTGTAGTAAGCTTCCTCGTATTGTATGTCGTGACATACTACTCATAGGAAACGACATCTCGACACTGCAGGGGGGAGGTTAACTGGCTCGGGAAGTGCTTTGCTATGAAGGACCTCGGAGAGGCTTCCTATATTCGGGAATAAGGATAGTGAGAGACAGAAGTAAGAGACTAATAGGACTTAGTCAGAATACTTATTGGACAAGGTACTAAAACGTTTTAGTATGGAGAATTCGAAGAAAGGGAGTTACCACTCCAAAGTAATGCCAAGTTGAGTAAGACTCAGAGTCCGAGTACTGAAGTCGAGATAGCAGAATGAGACGCGAGTACCATACGCTTCCGCAGTTGGCTCAATCATGTATGCTATGAATTGTACTCGCCCTGATGTAGCCTTCGCTTTGAGCATGGTCAACATATATCAAGGGAACCCTGGCAGAGCGCATTGAATCGCAGTCAAGAACATTCTTAAGTACCTTCGGAGGACCAAGGAATGGTTTCTAGTCCTCGGTGGGAGTGAGTGACTTAAGGTGCGAGGGTACAGCGACGCCAGCTTTCAGACCGACAGGGACAACTATCGTTCCCAGTCGGCCTGGGTCTTTACCCTCAATGGAGGAGCAGTAACTTGGAAGAGTTCCAAGCAGGAAACGTAGCTGATTCAACGTGCGAATCAGAGTACATTGCAGCAAGCGAAGCGTCAAAGGAGGAAGGCAATGGTTTGAAGAACTTCATTGGAGACCTTGGAGTTGTGCCAGCCATAAAGGAGCCCATGGAGATTTTCTGTGATAATGAAGGAGCGGTTGCCTTGACCAAGGAACCAAGAGATCATGGTAGATCTGTACATATCAACAGAAAATATCATTTTATTCGACATCGGGTGGAAGAGGGACTCCTCGTAGTGAAGAGGGTATCGTCAGAAGATAACCCAGCAGATCCGCTTACGAAGGACTGAGCAGGGTAAGCATTTGCAGCACGCTAGGAGCATTGGGCTGAAGGACGATATTAGTTTTGCTTAGATAGTTTGGAAACGTGTAATAGATAAGTTGTTATTAACATTTGATGATTAAATAAAGGAGTATTATTTATTAGTAATGTTACTGTCTTATGTTAATCTTTTACCTATTGTTTCATTTTGCATGTTTTGACTTCCTGGATAATTAAGTTATTTGATAATAATCAAATTATTCGAACGGTCCACAGTCGTTCATATGTTGGAAGTAGATATGAATGAAGACTGTCATGAATTGGTGTGTAGATTGTCAAAGTGTATTAGACATGGCAAGTTTGCTACAAACGTTCATGAGTGCTTATGAACTTGATTTGAGCATTGGAATAAACCCGCACTTGCCGGAATCACTTCATGGAATTTATCACGAGTGATCGCAAGATGGTAATATCATATGGTCTTAAAACCAAGATATATGGTTTATTGTTTGTTAATTGGTTGTGCATTGATAATGCGTAAACGCATCAGTAACTTGATGTTATAAAACACATTATTGTGTATGATTTGATTAATGGATAGTAAATGCATATAAGTCGAAGTTTATCTGTTCCTTTTATCCTAAGAGGGTAAAAGCGATATCAGGGCCCCTCGATGATTTGATTTGACTTATGTGCCGGGCCCGGTCAGGACTGAATTGATGTGTTCAATTAAGTTCTATGTCAAATGAATCTGAGATCAAGAAACCAATTGCTGGACAATAAGTACGGAAATGTTACATGTAATTGTCCACACGATATCTAGAACAGAGGATTATACGATCCCTTATCTGAAGGACAAGTTACTGATAAGATCAGAGTTTGACAGCGTCTTTGAGAGCTACGATGCTAATCGGATTGTGCTTGCATTTATAGTTACTAGACTTATCCAAGTGGGAGACTGTTGGATTATGGTTCTAAGCCTGTCAACTATATTGGTAAAGTACTTGACCCGGTTGTGCATGGTCCTTTTGGGTTGCCTTCACCATAGCAACTTGACAGAGTGATTTATAAAGAGAGAAGAGATTATTATATTAATATATTATGAGAATAATATATTAAAGGAATAATAATATTATTTAATTAATATTAGTCATAAATTAATTAGGAATTAATTTGGTGACTAAAAGAGGTTATTTGAATAAAAGGGCTTAAACTGTCAAATGTGTGATAGTTGAGTTTTGGGCTATGAATCCTTATAGATCTTAGGGTGGCCGAATTTAGGGTTAAGATATCCTTGAATTCGTCCAAGCCTCATATCTAGAAGGATCTTTGGATTGCTTAGGGCCTAAGTTATTCAATTAGGGTTAAGGATGTAACCCTAGTAGCTCATAGTATAAAAAGACCCTTAGGGTTGGAGAAATTGGATACCTTGCTTCCTTGGGAACCCTAGAGCCGATTTCTACACCTCTCCTCTCTCTCCAAATCATCCTCTTGCTAGTTGGTGTTTGTAAGCCATTAGAGGAGTGACAATTGTGACTCTAAGCTCCAAGAACAAGAAGATTCAAGCAAGCAACTTAAGGTATTCTTCTAGATCTCATTTCATATGTTATGATTCAATTGTTTACACTAGATCTAGCATTGTAAGCCTTGGATACATTGCATGTTCAATTAGAGAAACCTAGATCCAAGCATTAGGGTTTGCATGTGCACATAGGAAAGTTCTTATGGCTCAAACCCATCACATATTCTATAGCAAGATCATATGAAGTTGACTCAAGCATCTGTTTTGATAAAGGATCTGATGGCTCAAAAGCTTCATCGTCATTAACATTTGTTGTATTTCCCCCCAATTTTCCTTCATTCTCTCTCACACACCCTTCTAACATGTCTGTATTCATCAAAACCATTTGTAACTGCTGCTCTAAAGCTTCCTTTTCGTATTTCATCTCTCTTAAACCTTTCAAAACATCTTCTTCTCTCTGCCTCAACACCGCTTCAGCAATAAACATCCCTTCCATTTCAACCTCCCTGTTCTTCCTCAATGCTTCAACATCAACATGAACAGTTACCACCAGTTTATTGATGGCATTCCGCTTGAAAACCTCGCATGGATCCTCCGTGGTTGATCCTAACCGCTGTGGGGGAGACGATGACAGAATCCTTCCACTGCCGGAGGCATTCCCATATGGTGATGGCGGATAAGACCTTGGTGGAATCGTTGGTTGTATAGACTTCGCTGAAACCGAACCAGAAGACGATGCATTGGAAGATACAGATGGATTGTAATTAGGGTTTGGAGTAGGGTTTGTAGGGTTTGGTCGTCGTTGAGAGTATAAAGGGGGTCGCTACCAAAATAATGACTCAAATTACGAGCTAATTCAACCAGGTTAGAGCTTGGATAAACCCAATTTTGCAGGTAAGGGAAGGAAACCAATCCCGATGGATTAACAAAAAAGTGTTGGTCTTTGATGATCATATCACGTGTGGGGTTCACGAAGACGAAAAGCGGATGACGAGGGTAAGTCTCCATGAGCCAGATCACGACGAGGATATTGTAGGTGGCGTTCTGAAACACCATCGAAACTGTGTCGTCGGGTTTCTTCCATGAGGGGGAGGGGTTTCTTCATTGAGGAGGGCATTGTAGAACGCAATCGGTTTATTTAAAACGAGTTAAGATAAATGTACTACACGTGGCCATTTCATTAAATGATCTGGCACCGACATTTTCCTTCGTGTCATGTATACTACCTTTGAACCCGGTTTTAGGTAACATAAGGGTATTTTAAAACAGGGAAATGTAAGTTCATTCCCTTAATATGCAAAAAAAATAGTTTAGTGACCTTTTAAAACAAACACGATAAGTTTGATGGGCTAATACGATATTTACCCAATATAATTGTATCCAATTTACCAACAATTTTGTTTTCGGTTCTAATATACCATCGATTACGTAGACACAACCGGTGACATGGACTTCACGTGGGTTGGTAACCGTCTATCACCGATATCAATGATATAATAAAACCAAAAAAAAAAAGTTTGATGACCAATTAGGTGTAATTAAAACTTTAGTGACCTAATGGGTAAATTTTGTGTTATTGGTTGCCATTTTGGATCATTTTCCCAATATTCAATCGTAAATTTAAATATATGAAATGTAAAATTGTAAATTTTCCAACCTTCTAAAATAAATATTCAATCATGCATTAGTTAATATTTGAAAACGTTTTATTCTTCGAAAAACTAGATTCAATGCAAAATTGCATATTTTTTTCATTAATCTTATAAATATTAATGTGAATACATGAACATATCCATTTCGTAAATCACTCGATATCTTCATATACTATTTATTTTATCCAATTTTTTAACAATGAAATTTTTAAAAATAATTTATTTAAGTAAATACTGATTTTTTTATTTATCCATATACTACCATTTATTACTTACCAGCTAGACTGCTTAACTAGCTATCAATGTTCAACATTATTTAAATTTAATTTAACCTACACAAATCATATATCAGGTCATTAAAGTCTAATTATAAAATAATTCTTTAAATTTATTTCCATAGTATACTTTTTACAACTAATTCATACATACGAATACAAACATTAGCATTCATATTCTCAATATAGCTGAAGGTGATAACTTATTTTAACTAAATTGAAAAAGTCAAATTCTAGATCCAATGAAAAAGACAAATTCGAGTCATAGACTTGATCTATAATAAGTTTGATCCTAATTGGCAACCAAACAATCCAAAATAATATTCGTAAGCAAACATCATAAGATATTATGTCATATCCAAATCACAAACACCATTTTTGTAAGGGACATTAAAAATATATCAAAGTACATTGCCTAATACAACAACCTAAGAACCAAATGTCCTTAACTTATTTTAAATAACATATAATTCTAATATTTAAGCTATGTAATTAAATTCCTATGCAATGCTTGGGGATTTGCCTAGTTATTGTTGTTGTTATTATTACTATTATTATTATTATTATTATTATACTATAAAAGAGACATTTTTGCTTTCACTACATGTATTTGAAACTCTCATGACTTTTCAGTGTATTTTTGATAATAATTATAAATTAGTTAATATTTTTAAATAAGTACAAAATCTAAATTATAATCCTAAATTAACTAAACTTTAATATTAAAATATCATCTTTTATTTCTATTATAGAATTATGTCAACTTTTAAGATATTATACTTAAGTTATTAGTTTGCATATATTTTTTTATGTAAACCATTGTCATTTTAAAGTCACAACTTTTAAATAATTTATATTAAATTTTCAAAATTTTAATCTAAATATAACATTAAAAGGTTAACTTGAATCAAAATTTCAATTAACCTTAAAAGAAAATTCCAAAGATTATTTGTAAATAGTCAAAAGTTATAAATTGTGGTTTTAAATGCAAAACCTAAATTGTAATCCCAAATTAACTAAAAATATTTCCATTTTTTATAATTATTAAGAGTTTCCAAATAGATAGCCTAAAAATAAGACCAAATTCTATAAAAAAATCATTGTAGATTGGATTTTTTTTAACCGCGTAAAGAATTTTTTCTAGATTAACCATTGAGCTCGTTTGTATTTTTTTCAAAAGACCACTTTGCATTTTTTTTCTTTTGAAAGAGAAAATGGTGCAAATGGGAATCAAACCCATATTGATAGGAAGAAAATCACGTGTTTTAACTACCTGAACCACACAACATATATCACTCTACATTTCCTATGTTAGAAAGTTACAAATAACAAACAAAAAATTATTCGAATCAATGAAAGATGTATACAACTGTAAACCCTAACACTTATTTGATCGGATCGGGTCGGGCCGGGTCATAAATTTATTCAGGGTGTCATACAATTCCAAGTCACAAGTCAAACTAAATGTAATGGACTTGTACAATTTTATTTGCTAAATATTTCCCTAAGAAATCATATCCATGGAAGTATAAAGCTTCAATTTCTGCTCTTTGTCCACTCTCAACCATTACTGCCAATTCTTCTTTATAGTTATCCTATCAAAATGATTTTCTACTCAGATTTTCCTTTTTTTTTTATTCTTTTAAATAAAAAAGTTAATAGTAATGCAAGCATATTACTATGAGTTCTAGAAGCGAACCTGTAATATTTGTGAAGAAGTCAAGCTTTTGGCAATTTGCATATCTTTCGGCCTTAATGGTAGGAAGGATTCTTGTGGTATTAACTCCAAATCGTCTTTCCTTAATCCCAACCACTTGATGTTGCAAGCTGAGTAAATTTTACATTTTTGGTCCTTTGAGTTTAGCACTTTTTTCGTTTGCTTCTTAAGGAAATCAGTTTGCAAAACTGGTCCATATTTCAATGTTTAATAACGATTTTGATCCCTAAATTGTTAAATTTAATGTAATACTCACATAATACTTTTTTTTTAAATGTCATTTTTCCCTTAGCGAAATTGGTCATTTCAAGGACCAAATCCGCCAATCAATCCTTTTTAAGGACCAAAACTGAAAAAATATTCAACTCATGAACAAAAAAATGTAATTTACTTGAAATATCATTTAAGGAGCGTTTTATCCAAATAACCCTCATTGAAAAAAAAAATTTACCATATTTGTATGCTTCTAGGCCCATTCCAATACTTCCATACTTGAAGGTGCAAAGAATAGCCAATCCAGCAGGATTCCTAAAATTAAAAAAATAAATAAATAAACATCAAAAGATTTCAGGTTTCAATCATATAAGTGATTATGATTCTAATTTCTAAACACCAAAATATCAAAAGAAAAAAAAAATCCGAGTAGAAATCTTTTGTTCTTACCAATCAACCAATCCAAAAATTGGCATTTCAGGGAAAGCCCGACTCATGCGATGAAGAAGAAACCTATTTGAGCAATCCAAGAAACTATGATTTCAATCAACTATCACAAATTAGAAAGAGTAATTACACTTTTGGTCCTTGAGTATAGCTGATTTTTACGATTCTTGTCCAAAATATAAAGTCTAACAGAAAACTCTTCAAATTGGAAAAAATGAGCTATACTTATTACTTACATATCAAAAATCTGATTTACTCAAATGAAAATCTACCTTGTAGCAAGATCAGGGTATCCTTTTGCAGTGATAAGAATGCATGGAATTTGATTGAACACTTTATCCTCAGCCAACCTCTGAAATATCGCATGCTAAACACAAACATATTTAATATTTTTAAACTCCTCCATTTTGACAAAAAAAAAGGAGAAAAAGATTTAATCAAACATAGCACCTTCTCAATCACAATTATGTAATTTGCATCTGTCTTCATCACCAGTTTTTCTAAAATGTTCAAGTCACCAGAAATGGCATAACCAGAAGATCCACATTTAGTGCAGTCAACAGTTTCTTGATCAGGCCCTTGTAACAATAATCGACCTGCTACTGATCCTCTACTAGATGCCATGATTCCAAGACTAAAACGACTACATCTCAGCAATGCTACCACATCTATGTTGCATAAATTTATGAAATTGTATAATCAGAAAAGAAAATAAACAGAAATGTAACATCAAATGGTGGATTACGACAAGTGTTTTAACCTTGGATAGTTTGATTGACTTGTAGTTGAGTAGTGAAATAATCTGGTGATGAACAAAGCAACTTGTAAAATAGTTCTCTTTGAGTTACTCTCTTTTCCAGAAGTAAAATGTTGTAACACATCTCCATCACTTTCCACACTGATTTACATAATGGTGGATAAAGTAATGCATTAGAAGAAGGAAATTGTGTTGGTTTTATAGTGTCGGATCATATAATTGTTGATGACGATTTTGGAAGTACCTCTTATGAAGGCTTTAGCAGAATTCTCTCTCGTCAATGATTTTGTGCAGAATGAACGTGACAGAAAAATCCATGAAGCTTCGGTTAATAGACTCTGATTCACTCTGCTATTACTTGATTTGCGGTTGATCTGTTTCATTCACAGCATCAATTGATCATTCCCCAATTGAGCAAAAAGAAAAAGAAGAATTAAAATGGTTCCCAATAAGCATTGCTCATTTGTACTGTACAAATAATACATAGGCTTTCACGAGCAATTAGAATTTCCTAATTCGAGCCAATTCCTATCAGTTTTGTCGATACATGTTGAGGAAATCGAAACCACAATTAGCATATAGTTTCCATTGGTGCTCATAAATATGAATACGCCTTATTTGTTTCAACATTACGAGAGATTAAGAGGACCTTATATTCAAATTTTAATTACGATTCTGTGGTAAAGTTGTAGCTGAGTTGTAACATTCATAGCTTAAATCTCCGACGCACTATACAGGATCATATTGTTTATTCAAAAAAAAAAAAAATCGAAACAAATCGGCATTAATAATGAAACTCGAATGGTGAGGAATTCGGACCATAGGGAGGTTTGAGATGGCTGGAGTTGGAGAGTTCAAATCCTTGAGAAAATTCAGGACTGCTATTTCGATTCTAGCTCGGACCTGATGATTTGATTCCGAACATCATTGAAACGTCTTTGAAAATTATGAAGTAGAATTCATTGAATTGGAAAGAAGAAGAAGAAGAAGTACCTCAAGAGGTGGAAGGATATCGGCGTAGGAGAGGTGTTGCTCGGTGAAGAAGATGGTGGATCTGCGCACGTCTCCCATGATGCAGCCCTACTGCTTGTGGCCCAAATAGCGCGCCAAATTGCTTTATATATTCAAAAATCAAAATGGTATCTGCACTTTTTTTTTTAAACCGGTAACCGGCTAATAGAAGGGTTACTGGTTGGAAGGGCTAGGCTGAATGTAATAGCCAGTAACCTGTTTCATAAATGAAAATTAATTTATGACTAAATCATAAACTTTTGCAAAAGTTTGAGACTTTTCCGTAGATTTCCCAAACATTAATTATAGATTTGGATTCCATATTTTTAAATCGTCAATAGTGGTTTAAGTTGGGTCTGACAATCGGGTTGAGTTCGGGTTGATGGGTCACGAGGTTACGAGTCAGAAAACATAAACTCAACCCAACCCATATAATATATGGGTTTGCAGATTAGCGGGTCACGGGTTGGAAACCTCAACCCTACACAACTTATATAACTCGTTTAAATATATGGGTTCACGGGTTCATATGTTAGTGGGTTGAATCCAACCCACATAACCCGTTTAATAAATAAGCAGCAAATTTTTAAAAAAAATGATGTTTTTCAATATAAACTCATAAAATGATTAAAATCATTAACATCAAAAAAGAGGTTTTAACCTTAAAGTCATAAAGTCATTAACATCCAAATAAAATTAAAAAATGAAAACATTTATACAAAGTGCAATTGTTCAAAATTATCTGAAAGCCAATTCGATAATTCAATAATGTTAGAATTTTCATTTTTTCCTCCAACACCGACTTCTTTATGATGACCTTCAAATAAAAACGTTATGCAAAATTAAATGTATGATCTTTTAAATGCTAGATTGTACTAAAAATAACTCACCAAATGACAACTTAAATTATGTTGGAGTTTGTAGCCTCTGTATTGTCTTCCTTGATGTTCAAATTCATTATATTCTCAGTTAGGTTGTCAACAACTACATTCAAATCAACTGCATAAGGAATAGAAAAAATCTCAAACACAAATGATATAAGCATATGTTGATTATCCATGAATTTGATTGCTACAAATACAAATTGGGAGCAAGAGTAAAAACAAACATGGTTTATTCCCTAGATCGGATCAACATGTAGTATAGATCTAGTTTAGGTCACAATCATATGGGGTTTTAACATTCATGTCTTGGGGCGTACTCTGTTTACTATAAAGTAGAAACCTTCGGCGCACAAAGACCAAGGTAACTCCCCTCTAATAGTATCCCAAAACAAACAAACTTAATCATCGTTAAATGATTAAGGGATTAGCCCACAAATAGTATATTTTAGTGTATCCCATATCGGTGCGACTCAGTCTTATAAGTGACTATATATGTTGGAGTTCCTCTTCTCTCCACAAGGGCTCTCTTGGAGAGACAATTTTGGGCTCCACATATATTTATAAGGGGGAGTGTTAGTGTTATCTCACATCGGTGTTGCACAGTCTTATAAGTGACTGTATATGTTGGAGTTCCCCTCATTTCCATAAGGGCTTTTAAGTAGATAATGGGCTTAAGATCTCATCCTTAGGCTTTACTACGGCATGGTATCCCACCTTTGGCCAAGCGAAGAAGGTCTAGTAATTCCCTGGCTCTTAGTAGTTTTCTAAGTGATTATCCATCCCTTACGACCACCACTTCATCCGCTTTCAACTTCCAATCAACCTCCATGATTGCCTTATCTCCATCAACGAATTTCACTCTCAATGGTTAAAGGTAAATTTTTTTAACACAAAAATTTGTCATTGACTACGCCTCCTCCTCACAAGATCCTTTTCGAATGATATATTGACCTGGGAACAAATTAACTAAATTTAATCCTTCTAAGAACATTTGATTATTGTTAGGAATGACAATTTGAAATCATTTTGGTAAGGACAGACAAATTCCTTTACATAAAAGAACTGTTCATTCTGTTACGATCCATCTAGAAAAGCAACCAAACATACTTTAAAATATGATTAAATGGTATGTGAGATTCCATTCCACCATTTTCGTGCAAAGAAAACACCACCGTAATAATTTGCATGCCATATGCAATGAAGTTGAATATTAGTAGCAAACTTATATTCATCATTTATTTATGTATATATTTACACTCCATCCCATGAAAATTAATATGTATGAGGAAACGCATAAGGTACGGGAAATATTTAACTATATGTTAATACCCAATGTATATCAATAATGAAAAAAAGGATCTTAAACCAGATGAAGATCTTCAAGTTTTATTACACTAACAATGACCAAATGGGTATATTATAATTTGGAAGCTTATTAAAAATGAAAATGTTGGAATCTAAATATCTATATATAATGGCATTTTATATCCACATTAAATATTATTTTAATACTAAAACATTTTACTTGTTAACTAATTAATCATTATAACTCAAAAATCTTTTAACTTATTCCACTTAATTGGTCGATATAGAGATGTATATTTGTTAGGCATTGATGAATGTCATGAATAATATCTTTTTCTTCATTTTATGATCTCTTAAAAATGTATATTTGTTAGGCATTGATGAATGTCATGAATAATATCTTTTTCTTCATTTTATGATCTCTTAACTAAACGAAAACCCAAATAATCAAAATGTTTGTTACACATTGATGGATGTCATAAATAATATATAATTAATAATTAACTATTAATTATAAACTATTTAAGAATATGAAAAAAGATCTACAACAAATAATATATATGACATGCTCTCAATGGAAAGTCATGAAAAACTAAGATTCAAACGACCTTAACTAAACAAAAACCCAAATAATCAAAATGTTTGTTACACATTGATGGATGTCATAAATAATATATAATTAATAATTAACTATTAATTATAAACTATTTAAGAATATGAAAAAAGATCTACAACAAATAATATATATGACATGCTTTCAATGGAAAGTCATGAAAAACTAAGATTCAAACGACCTTATTTTGAATAGTAAATATAAGAGTATCCTAATTGTTGTATCATACTAATAGAGAATTGTATATAAAATCCTTATTTAATGTAATAATTTTTTAGAAGTTTTTTTTCGACTAATTAGACATACATTTATCTTACATATTTTTAGGGCTGTAAACGAACACGAACGAATATCGTTCATGTTCGTTTGTTTAAGTTAGTCGAACAAACGAACGAACACGAACTGATAAACGAACAAGATTCTTGTTTATGTTCGTTCGTTTAACAAATTACATTGTTCATGTCTGTTCGTTTATGTTTGTGAACATGCTAAATGAACATAAACGAACAGAGATAAACAAACATAATTTGACATATATAAAAATAAAGAAAACATAATATGGTAATGTAATCAAACATAATTGAACATATATGAACATAAGTGAACGGACATAAACAAACATAAACGAACGTTCACAGACATAATTGAATGAACAAGACCATCGTTCATGTTCGTTAGTTTAACTAAACGAACGAGAATTTATGTTCATGTTTGTTCATAAATGAACATAAACGAACTTCCCATCAAACGATTCACGAAAAGTTCACTGAACATTCGGTTCTTTTACAACCCTATATATTTGATATGTTTTATAAAGCACCATCCTTTGATTATTATCTTTCAAAAATATTTGATGTGTCATTTTAATCAACTAAATGATGTTTAAATATATGTATTTATACAAATATTGATTTTTATTTTGGGTATTTAATATATATCATATTATTAGTCAAAAGAATAAATAAAAATGTTTATAAAATATAATTAAGAGAGATAAAATGATAATATTATACGACGGATAATTACATGTAATATAATAAATATTGTAACACCATGTCCGCATGTATGAGTTTTCAAGTTAATTTGGTCTTTTATGGAATTTATATATCGTACGTGGGGCGTAGGATAGCCACCTACGTTACGCGTATGTAACAACGTTAATTCCCAAAACAATTTTTCATTTTTAAACCATACTTTTAATCATCAAAAACAATACCAAAACATAATGTATCCAATGTCATCATAACAAAACAATTCCCAGAATCTCAAACGTAAACTCTATGAGTGTGTACGGATCATGCCGGCGCCTTCCCGCGATCCTCGCTGGTACCTGAAACACATATCACCACAACTGTAAGCATAATTGCTTAGTGAGTTCCCCAAAATACCACATACAACACATACGCCTTTCCAGGCCATAACTCTGTGGGACCTTCCGGTCCAAGTGTCTCAGGGGACTTCCGTCCCGAATCCCGGTAGACTTTCCAGTCCTACCCGTATCGACCTTCCGGTCCATATCATCTTGACCTTCCGATCCTTATCATACATAACATACATAACACATATATATCACATAACAACATACATCACATACATCTCATAGCATATAAGACCTTCCGGTCACACATAGGTACCACTCTAGGTACAGTATAGTGAGAAGACTCACCTCGTACGATGTCGGATAACCTCTCGTGCTCGATAACCCGACCTAGCCTCCTCCTATTAACATAATAACATTCATGATTAATACCCTCTCTTAGACTCATCTCTAAAGATTGGGTAGAAGGCCATTCTACCCCTCCCTGAATTCCCCTGAATCAGCTTGACCGAAACCCTAAGGTCAACTGAAGTCAACGGTCAAACTTTGACCCGACTCGTCGAGTGCACATGGGCGACTCGGCGAGTCCAAGCGGGTCTTCTAAATCCTTCTAGTCTCACTTGGCACGTCGAGTCATCCCTCCACTCGACGGGTTACACCTGTCACGAATCGCGGGGCAACCCCGACTCGACTCGTCGAGTACACTAATGGACTCGGTGAGTTCCTTCCATGGCAACACTGAAATGACCTTCTGAGGTCAGATCTGCTCCTCTAACCTATAGATCTGACCTTCCCAAACACGATAATCACGTAAAGGTTCGAACTTTAGGTCCATGCATCACACTATCACCTCTATATGCCAAAATAACCCTTAATATGATAACCTAAGCCCCAAACTCATAAAGGACTGCATAAAGCTGGAGAATAGGGACTCTCTGGA